CTTTTATAGTCCACGAGACAAACGGTGCAGGACTGCAGGAAAAACCTCTCCAGATGTACAGTCACAACACAGGGTTCCTTTCCTCTGGAGTCTCCACTCCCATATCCACCATTTGGCCACAATGGAGCTCCATACTTTTCAGCAGACTAACACTTCTGTGCACAACATCTGTGTTTTTCCATCCGTGAGTTATTGTCCATTTGACACTTTCTAAGTGTAGGGAGGAGTCTTTCTGACTGTCTCAGATAACTGTTCCTCAAAACTATCCATGTTGTTTAAACACACAACAGCCAGTGGACTAGCTGAAACAAAATGCTTCCATTGTTGTCTGAGTGCTTTTCCACAACAAACACACCTACAGTCTTCTGACCACTTGCACAATACTGGGCACATTCTCCTGCGAGAAAAACTTTGGCCCAAGTCTTGTGAGTAGAAAAGGTAGATGAAGCTGTTCTGTGTACAAAAGTACACAAATTTTGCCACGCAATGGTAACAATGAGAGCTGATGTTGCAGCTTTATCCTGTCTGTTCTCAGATGATCTTAGTCTAAAACTCTGGTATGAAAGGCAGCAATATGGATTATTTCAACTAATCTCAGGTCTTTATATTTACAGTTCCCTTGGTTGGACGTAGTGAATATTTAGTAAACTTGACGAAACAAAGAAGGAATTGGTATTTTTGGACTAGCAGACCAAAAACGATAAATGAACATCACCCTGCTGACTTCAAACATCTGCAACCAAACTCAATGAACTAGAGTAATGAGGTAAGATAAGACATCAAACACTCCAAAGATTGCTTTGGTTATTTGCAGACTGTTAATTGTTACCGTGGCAACAAATATGTAGCCATCTGTCACCAGTGACGCAGTGAAGACTTGAAGACATCAGTTTCATCAAATAGTTTAGTATTCAGTATTTGTTTAATGACCGCACAGCCAGGAAATAAGCAACCAACACTCTGCTTCAGGAAGAAAACATTTTTCAGACTGTAGCGATGCAATAAATATAAGACAAGTAATTTCAACATTTTAGCCTTCATTGATTCTTACAGAACAGTTTTTATGTAATACTAATACATTCTATACTTAACAGTTTATTCATGTCTCTAATCTAAAATAAAAAGCTTCCTCTCAGGTCAAAAGTCCATCACAGGTAACCAGTACAACAAATCCAGGGTCTGGGTCAAGCTCTCCTCCCAGTGGGACATGTCTGAATCACCTCCATTGGAAAGTACCCAGAAACCTCAACTGGTTCCTTTTAATCTGAGCAGCAGAGACTCTACACTAAGATTATCTTGACTAGTCAAGCTTCTTAGATTATCTCTAACAAGTTAGTCTGGTCTAACTGTGAAGTCTCATTCTTTACACTGACAAGGTTTCTACCAAGTAAGCACCAGATAAGTATCAGTGATGAGTACAGGTAAGTACAGTAAGTACCATGTAAGTACCAGGAAAGTACGGTAAGTACAGAAAAGTACCAGGTAAGTACATAAGTACCAGGTAAATGCCAGGTAAATACAGTAAATACCAGTAAATATGGTAAGTACCAGGTAAGTACCATGAGTATCAGGTAAGTACAGTAAGTACAGGTACATACAGGTAAGTACCAGATAAGTACCATGTACGTAATGTAATTGCCAGGTAAGTACAGGTAAGTACAGTAATTACCAGGTGCCAGTTAAGTATGTTAAGTCCCAGGTAAGTATCAGTATTGTACCATTTAAAATATTTTTTAAAAAAAATAACAAAAATATTTACTGGTAAATTTTCCACCAGGCACATAATATTACTGACGGCATCCAGTATATACAACCCCTGGCAAAAAGTATGGAATCACCAGTCTTGGATGAGCACTCATTCAGACATTTCATTCTGTAAAACAAACTCAGATCAAAAACAYGATACAATAGTTAGGTCWTTCMAAAGTGCAACTTGTTGGCTTTCAGGAACACTCAAAGAAATGAAGAGAAAACATTGTGGAAGTCAGTGAATGTTACTTTTATTGACCAAGCACAGGGGAAAAAAATACATGGAATCACTCAATTCTGAGGAAAAAATTATGGAATCACTCAAACTGGAGGTAGAAAATAAGGACACACCCAGTCAATTTCCTTTCCCTAAATGGACCTGCCTCAGATTAGATCTACTCGTTATTCTGCAGTTAAAAACACCTGCAGTCATGACACCTTGGAGGGCTGCTGGACAAAGTGGAGTGGTAGGAACCATGGCTCCAACAAGAGAAATGTCTCTTGAATCAAAAGAGATGATTGTGAAACTTCTTGAAGAAGGTAACTCTTCACACATGGTTGCTAAAGATGTGGGCTGTTCACAGTCAGCTGTATCCAAGATATGGACCAAATATAAACAGCATGGAATGGTTGTTAAAGCCAAACGTACTGGTAGACCAAGAAAGACATCAAAGCACCAAGACAAACAACTTAAGGCCATTTGTCTTGAAAACWGAAAAAGTACAACTAAACAGATGAAGCATAAATAGGAGGAAGCTGGAGCCAATGTATGTGACCAAACTGTAAGAAATGGCCTAAAGGAAATGGGATTTCAATACAGGAAAGCTAAAAGAAACCATCATTGACACATAAACAAAAAGAGCAAGACAGCAATGGGCTAAGGAGAGGCAATCATGGACTTTGGATGAATGGATGAAAGTTATCTTCAGTGATGAGTCAAGAATCTGCATTGGACAAGGTGATGATGCTGGAACTTTTGTTTGGTGCCGTTCCAGTGAGATTTATAAAGAGGACTGCCTGAAGAAAACAACCAAATTTCCACAGTCCTTGATGATACGGGGCTGCATGTCAGGCAAAGGCACTGGGGAGATGACTGTGGTTAATTCTTCTATCAATGCACAAGTTTACATTGACATTTTGGACAGTTTTCTCATCCCTTCAATTGAACAGATATTTGGAGGTGATGAAATCATTTTCCAAGATGACAATGCATCGTGCCATAGGGCAAAAACAGTGAGGGCATTCCTTGGAGAAAGACACATTCAGTCCATGTCATGGCCTGCAAATAGTCCAGATCTCAACCCAATTGAAAACCTTGGTGGAAATTGAAAAAAATGGTCCACAAGAAGGCTCCGACCTGCAAAGCTGATCTGGCAACTGCTGTCAAAGAGAGTTGGCACCAAATTGATGAAGAATACTGTTTGTCACTTATAAAGTCCATGCCTCAGAGACTGCAAGCTGTTATAAAAGCCAAAGGTGGTGCAACTAAATACTAGTGATGTATTTTGAATGGTCTTTTGTTTATCTGTTTTTCATGATTCCATACTTTTTTCCTCAGAATTGAGTGATTTCATATTTTTTCCCTGTGCTTGGTCAATAAAAGTAACATTCACTGACTTCCACAATGTTTTCTCTTCATTTCTTTGAGTGTTCCTGAAAACCAACAAGTTGCACTTTGGAAAGACCTAATTATTGTATCATGTTTTTGATCTGAGTTTGTTTTACAGAATGAAATGTCTAAATGAGTGATCATCTAAGACTGGTGATTCCATACTTTTTGCCAGGGGTTGTATGTGTGGCACACCAGCCCAGTCCACATACAAGCACCTGGAGTCTGAACCCATTCTTAGCTTAGTTTATGTACAAATATAGCTACAAGTATTTATAATTTGTCAGGTTAGTTCTTTTCAGTCCTCTAAACCTATGTTTAGAGCAGAAGAAATTAAAAATAAGTTGATTTTAATAACTCCACCACAAACCTGTCAATCTTTAGGATAAACTGTCATGTTTGTATGAATCAGGTGTTGGTTGAACCCAAAGATCAGAAACTCAGGAACTCAAAAAGGTAAAAATAAAGACTTTCAACAAAATAAACAAGCTGTTGTGGTAGCAGAAAGAATTTTCAGAAAAACTCAAAGGTGAATGAGATGAAAACCAAATCTGGAGCAAACTTGAATGGCTGTAGGAAGCCCAATGCACAGAAGGGTAAGTGGAGACCAGACACAAAATATACAAGATAGAACTCAACGCCGATCGTCGTTGAGGTCCCCTGTGTCCATTCAGTAGTGACCAACAGTTAGCAGTTTTGTTGGAATCATCACAGGCCTTCATTAATCAAATAATCTCATAAGGTAAACAGACGGAAAAATGGGGCGTTAGAGTGATCTTGTCAAACAACTATACAAATGTGATGATGCACACAATGGGCCTCATGCAAGAACATGTTCGTATTCTTCTCCTAAATTTCTCTTACTTTTGTTCGTACAAAGGGTTCGTACGAACATGTCACGTCAGATTCAACAAACTCTTCTATCTTCAGGAAAAGTGCGTAAACTGTGTTAAATCATTTTCATTTATTCAGAAGCCGTAGCGCTGCGCACCATTTTGATCGTATCTGAAAAAAATCGTAGAATACGAAAACATTGGTGAATGTCACAAATTCTCCTAAATCACTCGTACGCACAATTTAAGAACAAATCTGTGCGTACGAACGGTTCTTGCATGAGGCCCAATATTTGGTTCAGATAGGATCATGTATGTGTGATTTAGAGCCAAACGTATGTCAACGGTCTGATGTCTAATTAGGCCACCCCCGCCTCCCAAATTGGACTACATTTCTGTAGTGGGGTGGCTTCATATTAACCATAGCAAATTGCATGCTGATTGGCTGAAATGTGTGGAATTTAGAGCCAAATGTGTGCCAACTGTGTGAGGGGCAATTAGACCTGTAGTGGGGGTTCATTACAACCGACCACCTTGTGCGTTTTTTTTTAATGGCAAACATGATGTTGAAACATGGAAAATATAAAAATTAAAACTAAGATAATGTAACAGATAAGATAAAACTTTATTGATCCCACAGTGGGGAAATTTGCACATTACTGCAGCTCAATACAGGAGAGGGTGAGACAGAATAAAGAAGGATAAGTAAGTACTCATCTCTCTAAAACTAACGTTTGTGAACAGGACTGCCTTCTTGTAAGGAAAGAAGTCAAACCCCTCCCTGATTATAAATGGTACTCTGGTCCTACCTGTACATTTTTTGAGACTCCCGGTTCTCTTGCCGTGCATCCCCAGTTTGCAGCCGAAGTTTTCCTCCCAGAACTCGGCAAACCAGACGTTCCTCCGGTTGTTGGACAGAGACCGGCTCTTGAAATACCGGTCAAACGCTGCAGAGAGAAACAACACATCATCCCACTGTTGAACATCCCTCATCGTCACACGTCAACAGACATCAGCTTTGTCTGCTCACCGTCCACAGACGTCCTCTTAGGCAGGATGGTGATGGCTCCCTCGGCCACCCGCTCCTGCTGGACCACCGGAGAGATCTTTGAGCCCCAGCTGTCAGAGCCCACCCACAGGAAGTGTCCTGTCAGGTTGGTGTGTTTGGCTGCATCCAGAACTCGTCTTTCAGAACCACAGAAGGCAGATGTTGGGACCGAGACAACAGGGACAACAGGGACAACAAAGGGAGAGGGTCAGCTGTCATTTTCTGCTACATTTCTACAAAAATCAGGAACAGAACTGATGAAAACTACCAACACACTAACATGCTGCTGTTATACAATGTGATTCTTATTTTCATGTTTATCACCTGTTGCTATGGGGGACAGGGTGATAATGTTTCTGCCTGTGTCTGTGTCACGCTTAGAAGCTAAAAATGATTAAAAAGCAGACAAATTTATAAAATATAAGCTACAATCTGTTGTGGTAGTTGCTGAGACTGAGCCTCACCTGAGTTCCAACTGAATGCACGTCATTTGTTTGTAAAACTTTACTTTAAATCAGAGTTTTTTTCTGCCTGTTAGTAAAACGTATTTTTTACTTGAATCAATACTTTAACATTTGAATAATTTATTTACAATTTACAAGAGCTTTACAAGAATTTAAAGCTCTAAATTAATGCAACAAGTTAATGAGAAATAGACAAACGTCCAATAACTGACTCCACTAAATGAAATAAAAGTATTCTTCAGACACATTTTGTCTCTTAATATAAATTATGAGCTTCTGAAATAATCAAACAGATATTGTTCCTTCTAATCAGAGACCCCTTTAAATGTTGAAATATTACTGCTGCCATCTACAAAAAGATGAAATGCAATGAAAACATGATTCCTTCACTGAGGATTGAACAGGAGTTTCTCACACTGAAGGTAGAAACAATGACAGTGACTGTGCCTCAATTCAGGGGCTGCACCCTCCTGTGTGCGTATTTGTCTGGCTCACAAAACCCCCAAAAATGAAGGCTGCATCTGAGCATCCTTCCCGGCCGAGGATGCCCCAGGATTCTTTGCGCCATCAGTAAACTAAACAAAAAAACAGACAACTGATTTTCTCTTTTTCCCACCAAGTCGGCGTAGTTTGGAAATTCCTCACCGACCAAATACAGTAATTTGTTTTTAAAGCTGTTGACATTTATGTTGCAATGAGATGTTAAATAAAACACAACTACAAGTACTGATACTGGAGCTAAACCCAAATTATTAATTTTTCTTTTATATGGAACATTTTAAGTGTGAAGTTATTCCTCCGGTGAAAAGACGTGAATACATGCCCCAATACCTTTTAAGTTTGAAGGCTGTGAGGATTCCCTGACTGATTGTGGTTAACAATTGGCAGCAGCTGCAGGTGGCTCTACTGACACGCTCCTGGGCTTTAAAGGGCTGCTGAGAAGAGCAAATCTTTGCTGAATACAAATTATAAGATTTAAAAAAACAAAGCAAAAATGATTAACAAAGTTAATAATGTTAAGTTAATAAGTAATGGCCAGAACTCTGCAGTTTTCACTCATTTACAGGCCAGCGGTCACTCTTTCAGAGATGAGGATGTTCTCATTCTTGATAGAGAGGAACGTTGGTTTGAGAGAGGAGTAAAAGAAGCCATTTTTGTGAAGAAAGACCGTCCATCATTAAACAGAGGTGGAGGCCTCCATTTTCAGTTGTCCCCCTCCTACAGCGCAGCCTTTGCCAGTATCACTGCACCCCCTGTTAACAATAAGTGTTAATTACGTGTCAACGATAGCCATGTGATGTGAGAATCAGTCACCTGGAGGCAGGACTCAAAAGCCTGAATTTTGCCTGAAACTCTCAGACTGAAGAAGTCTCTTGGAGGAGAGACGAAACGTTTCATTAGAGAAGAACCCGTCCAGATGACCTATACAATTTTTTTTCCTTTTGATTTTTTACCTGGATTACTGAGATGCATGAGGACGATTAACAAAGTTAAACTATATAGTTTTTGTAGATGCATAAAATTTTAGAAATATTCCATATCTGAACTTCATACCAGACGGTAATAATGCACACCACTTTTTGCCAACCACCAAAAAAAATCCAGAAGAAGATCCTTGCTGGTTTCACTTCAAAAAACAACGGGTTTACAGTATTTAGTTGAATCTATTTATTTTTTCCCCCTTCTTGCCTGCCTTCTCCAGTTCCACCTTCCAGACCAGTAGTGGCGTTAATGCGCCAAAATGAGTCTGCCAACCGCCAACAAAAACAAAAAGAAGAAGATCCTTGTTGGAACTGCGTGGCATGGTTCTCAGCTCTCTCAGTGTCTTAAGTTCTCTGAGTAAATCTAACCTCGAGTCTCTTGTTCTCCTCAGAAAGAATCCTGGACATTCTTCTGCTCTCAGCACAATCTTGCCTGCCTGCCAATGTTACCATTCTTACCTGTAAATACTCACCTGAAATACTCACCTGGATTCTTTCGATCACCTTGAATCCTCGCCCTCTGTATCTTTAGTGCATCCAGTAAGGATTAGTACATGATACAGTGATGATTCCAGTAGTAGATGCATACCACTCCAACAATGCAAGTTAGTTCCACTCCTCCAGTCTTCAGAAACTCTCCTGAGGGGTTAATGGACTGGGGAGATTTGCCTAATAAATGCATTGTTTTATCTATATAAACAGTGGATAGGCTTTCTTTTTATATTACTTAAAATTATAGTTTCCTAAAATTATTTAATGAGGAGATGATCCAGCCCCACCTCACCCTCTGGGATTTTCACCAAAGATGAAAGAAAATGGTTTGGTAAATGCAAACATATTTTACAGACACTGAGCCAAGCTTTGGTGTGGTGCTGTGGAGAGTTGTTAAAATATGAAAAATAAACATCTAACGCATCTCACAAGATTTGCATAAGATTGAAAACATTATACAGTTTGACAGCATACATTTCTTTAAAGGGATCCCTGATTACTGGTAACATTAGACTTTATTTAATAAACATATATTTAAACGTAAAATAAAGACTAAAAATACTGTAGGCTGTTTAGTTTTTATAATTTTTAAACTAAAAGTTTAAAAATATATTACACGGACGGAGCCATTTTATTTACACGCAAAGCATTCTGGGTAAATGATGATGTGGATAGGTCCTCGGTGTGAGGCTGCTAGTGAGCTATATCCACCCTGAAGGTTAATCTTGGACAATATCTGATGATCAACTCTTTTAAATGAAACCAGAGAGCGTTGACAGAGAGGGGAACACAAAAATGACTCAGTCTGCAACTGAAAATATGGATGGAGGACCTCAGTTTAGCTTGTTAGTTTGTTGCGCTAGCGCCGAGCTAATACATATAAGGCAATATAGTGTCATACCTACCCACGACATCATTTACCCAGAATGCTTTGCATGTAAATAAAATGGCTCCGTCCGTGTTAAAATATATTTTTAAAAAATGTACAAAACTAAACAGCCTACAGTATTTTTACAGTCTTTATTTTACAGTTAAAATATATGTTTATAAAATAAAGTCTAATGTTACAACTAATCGGGAATCCCTTTAAGAAAAGCCAAGTCTTTAATTTATTCAGGTTCAGCATGTGGGCTAGTTAACAGGCTGTGATGTGTTGTCTTTGAGAAAAACAAGAGGCGATAAGAGGTCTGATGGTTCGCAGCCTCATGCAGGACATTTAGTCTGTGTGAGGGCTGAGGGTGACCACTTTCTGTGTGACTGAACAGATCAGCAGCAACCCTCACTCTGGTTGAGTGTGAGAGTGTGTGTCCGAGTGTGAGTGCACAGAAAAGCAAGAAATAGCTTCACATAATTGAAAACCTGTGATCTTAATGTGCTCTGACAAGATGCATGAATAAATGATCACTTAAAGCTTTAACTTACAACTCAAAGACAAGAGGAGGTGTTTTATAGGAATTAATAATAAAGAGGTATTTTATCTTTTGTCTTGTTGCTCATGAGCAGAGCTGCCATCCTTGTTGTGTTTTTGTGTGTTTAGAAAGTGTACATCAGTGGTGGGCAATCCTGGTCCTCGACCGCTGCTATCCTGTGTGTTTTACTTGTGTCCTGCTCCTTTACACCCGATTCAATGCCTGAATTACCTCTTCAAGTTCTGCAGAAGCTTGATAATCACCCATTCATTCAAACTGGGTATGCTGGCACAGAGGAACAAGTGAAACATGCAGGATAGCAGCACTCGAGAACCTGGATTGCCCACCATGAAGGAGATAATAAAATAAATTAAAGAATTGTCTTGAGAGCCACTCAAACCTATGCTGTGAATATATTATTGAATCATGAGGCTATTATTAAAACATGTACACTTCTCCAAACAAAACACATAAAAAAGTCAGCAGGGAAAACATTAAAACAAGAAAATCTTCTAATTTTAAACCAGCATATCTACAAATTTTATCTCATCATATTTTGGTGTTTTTAAGCATATCTACCATAAAATAAAGGTTCAATATAATCGGCTGGCTATAATAACCAGATAACCTTTACTAACTGGTATTAAATACATGTCAGTATTTTGTACAGGACCCCAAGATGTTTGCTGTGAACTGGGTCTGTATAAACTGAACTGAATTAAACAAACTGAGAAATGAGACAAACTTTAGAATGAAAATACAGAAATATAAATTGTTTTCAAAGATAACGTGGATTTAGGCAGCTTTTGTAGATACAGACTATTTTATGATATAATGAAGTTATTTACAAAAAAAATGTAAACTAAGAAATTAACAATATGTTTAATACATTAATGCTTACAAACTCATGAATAATCGATTTACAAAGCCTTAAAGGGATAGTTCAACCATTTCTGAGGTAAAGTTCTGCCTAACAGTTAGTTAGCAGACCTGGATTAGATGTCAACACTCAATCTGCTGGAGGGAGCTGGTGGACTGCAGACAGGCACGGGATGGATGGATGGATGGATGGATGGACTGATGGACAATGGATGGATGGATGGATGGATGGATGGACGGATTGATGGACGGATGGATGGATGGATGGATGGATGGACTGATGGACGGATGGATGGATGGATGGATGGATGGACTGATGGACGGATGGATGGATGGATGGATGGATGGACTGATGGACGGATGGATGGATGGACTGATGGATGGATGGATGGATGGATGGATGGATGGATGGATGGACTGATGGATGGATGGATGGATGGATGGATGGATGGACTGATGGACTGATGGATGGATGGATTGATGGATGGACTGATGGATGGATGGATGGAAGGATGGATGGATGGACTGATGGACTGATGGATGGATGGATTGATGGATGGATGGATGGATGGATGGATTGATGGATGGACTGATGGATGGATGGATGGAAGGATGGATGGATGGAT